TTCGTGCCAGCATTATTAACATTGATGTTGTTGGTGAGGTTGTTGTCATTGTTGTTGTTGTGGTTGCGGTTGTTACTGTTGTTGTCATGATTGTTGTATCTGTTATCAATAGTCATTCTATGTTTGTTGTGTTTGTTATTGTTTTTGTTATTTGGATTATTCGTCTCGCTGTTAGACGCAATCACGAGAAGAACACATACCCGCACCGCCGAAGCGCACTTCAACCACGCTCCCAGGGGCCGCGTACGACTGTTCGGCCCGCCTACTCTGACATACTCACCGCCTGGGGAACCGATCTTCCGGGACCTTGGGAGCTGGTGGATATGTTCGGGCCCCCCGGGGCCCAACTCTATCACCGCCCCCTGAGGTCCTGGGGCATCGGCGCCCTTGGCTGTGGATGTCTATGAACTCCCGTCTCGAGTGAAAGCCCCCTGCCCCCTCCTCCCCCCCTTTCCTTCTCAGGGTGGCCCCGAGGCAGTTTCATCACTGGAAGTACGCCGACTATGTTGCATACTATTACGTTTACTATCCGGGCGGCTTCGCGACCCGCCGCTCCTCCCCCGAGGACGGGTCGCAGCGCCACGGAGGTCCACAGACAGCGACAAAGTGGCCGGAGAGGAGGAACAGGACGATGAGGATGATGAGGATGAGGAGTGAGACGAAGGAGTTATTGGGGAGGAGGAGGAGGGAGAGTGAGGACAGGGAGAAGAGGAGTAGTAGGAGGAGTGTAGAAGCAGCAGGAGGAAGAGCAGCCCGAGGAAGGATCATGGAGGGGGTGGATGAGACTGAGGGTGGCGGTGAGGACGAAGAGGATAAGTGTGGAGTGGAGCGGAGCCCATCACAGAGTCGTGTGTCGAATGACACCTACCCGCGGCACCCGCCTGCCCTTCCCGAAGATCACCAAGCCGAGCATGACGAAATAGTCATGGAACTTTCACCAGGATTTCAGGTTCCACAGCCCCCACGGCAATGCTTTCACAGCTTTCCTAAGGCTCCTCATCACCAGGGTAAAACCGTGTCCATTCAACGGAGTGTTGAAAATGCACGTCAACCGACCCTGCAAATTCTGAATGGCATAACGCAGCGTGTACTTACATGAGTCACACTCACCGCACAGGGAGTTTTACCGTAGCGAGTCCAGGCCGATCCGAGTATACGAGTAATATCTCCTGGCGCCGCTGGAACCAACGGCTGGGCAAACGGCTAGACAGGCTTCACAGGATCCACCCAAGCCTGACTGCCGAGCCACAATGCACCCATCAAAAGCATTCAGCAGCTTCACAACCGCAGCCCGCGCCAGGCCACGTAGGGAATCTGAAACCCGCCCCCCGTGCAATGACCGCTGCTAATGGTGCAAGTGCTGCGCCGAGCGAAAGCGATATGAGAGCGTATAATGCTAAATTGCGAATGGACAAGGCAAAATGAAGTAGCCCTTCCAAGGAACACCACCATTGAAGTACACCCAGAGACGGGGGGAGGCGTTTGCCTGGCAAAGCCCGCCGTGACCCCACGCGCTCCGCCCCTGGGGTGGACCGCGCCGAAGATGGCCAGGAAGGGTAAATATTGTCCCTGCATGTATACAGAATTCGTGACATTCCCTCGGCCTCAGCCAACCTGTGAAGTGCGGCAGAACATCGAATACGATTAAATTGCTCGGGCTAGCAGGATGCCACAACAAACACGTCCACGATGAGGCGCCGAGGGAGAAGGGTTTCACATCGAGCGCTCCAATGAGGTGACAGAGAGGGGGGAGGAGGGGGGGAGGGGGAGGCCACCGCTTCCTTCTCCGCGCGGGCCTTGGCGTTGAAGGCCTGGAAGGAGGGAGGATGAGGGAAGGGTCGGATGATACTGGAGGAAATGAGGGGAGGAGGAAGAGTAAAACGGAGGAATGACGAGAAGGAGAAGGGGGAGAGGGGGGGGCGGGACGAGGAAGGCGTCAGGAGTGAGGGAGGAGCAGGAAGACGGGGTGAGGAGGATGGCGAGGAGGAGGAGGACAGGGGAGGAGGGAGGAGGGAGCGAGGGAGCGAGCAGCAGCGGCTGAGGAAGCACGAGCCAACAGGAGGTCTGCCGTACCCCTCCCCCCCAGGGGTGTGTGCTCGGGTCGCCGTTCTCCGACCCGCGCTCGTGCTCACGCCGGGCTCTCCAACCGGAGGCCCTCGCCGCCGAGGGCTCGCAGGGAGGCGACGCCTCGCCCCCGCGGCGAGCCGAACACGGGCGGCTGGCCGCTCCCGGCCTGGCGCAGGCCAGCGGAAGGCTGGCAGAAGCTTGTCTTCGCAGACCAACAAAAACTGCATAAACATCAGCTTTCGGCGCTCCGCGAATCTATATATATATATATATATATATATATATATATGTATATATATATATATGTAAATGACAAAATGTCGGCGCTCCGCGCGGATTTCTTGGATCTTCGCCGGGACCCCCCTGGCGGCGCTTCCGGAGCCGCCCCTGGCGCGCTCCGCGCGCCAGGGCGGGATCCCAGCGCGGACCTACGAAGTCTTCGCGGGCGTCGACAGTTAACGTTTATGCACTTTTTCCTGCCTGGAGGTCCGTGCCCGGGAAACCAGGACGATGCAAACCAGGTGCCTCTGCCGCTCCCCCTTGCTCCTCCATTCCTTTTCTTTACAAATAACGCCTCGAGCCCCTCCTGGATGGAACCGTCGATGGCGGCGAGCAGCTGCTCCATCGAGCCGTGGTCGACACTAGCTGCATCTGGAACGGCCCAGCGCTCGCGCGACCCATCTGCACAATGGCGCTCCCAGTCCATGGGACCCACAAGGTTCCACCTGAACTGCATCACGTAGCACTGTAGAGCTGAAATGGGCCCACGGACCAGGCGAGACCTCTGGCTGGGCTCGGCCTCACGCAGACGATCGCGGGCAGGAGTGCAAGCCTTAGCTATCCGCTTTCTCAGGTCTGGGCTGCGCTGCCATGTGGAGAACCACAAGCTGATCATCTCCCGCGGAAATTTGCGCGCGGGATCTTCGCGCCCAACGCGAAGGAGAAGCTGGGACGTCAAGCAGCGCCTGCGGCGCGCCGCGCCTGACACAGCGCCCAGCCGCCTGCGAAGCTCCAGCATCCGCGAGCCGTAGGTTCCGCAGACCTCGTGGCCGTAGGTCGCAGCCGTCTGGACTCCGACCTGCTCGATGCGAGTGCACCGCGCGTAGCGGCGGCGCGCTCGCGCCATGCCGCGCAGGCGGGCATGGGCCGCCCCCAACTTGAGCATGCGCTTGCGGACGGTAATCCTGGCCATCCGCCTGTCGGCTCCGAGGCCGACCCCCAGGCAGGGGCCTTGGCGCGCGGCCGGGATGCGGTGCCCGCGACGCGTTCACCGCGTCGGCGTGGCGAGTGCAGGAGACCACGCTCTTGAGCGAGACCGTGAGGCCCTCCTGCTTCAACATCCCGCCGAGCTGGATAATGCTGGTGCACAGTTCGTCGACGACGGCGGCGCGCGAGCCAACCTTCGACAGCGACAGGTCATCAACCCAGATCCGCGGCATCAGCATGCGCGGCGACCCCAACACCATCTGATGCAAGGTGTGATCAGTGAGGCACCTCCCCAATCGCGTGCCCGATCGTAGGCCCTGCACGATGGACCTCGTGGGCTGGAAGACCAGCGACGCGGCCGAGTCCTGCAGGAGGACACGCCCTGCCATGCACTGCTGCATCTCTAGGGCCAGGACAGCAGGCAGGAAGCCCCTCTCGCCGCAGCGCGGCCCAGCGGCACCCAGCCCATGGAGTCGTAGAATGCCTAGGTGTCCATCAGGCCATGGCCGTAGGCTGCTCCCAGCACGCCGTATGCCTCCTCATCCACAGCGCGGATGAAGGCCTCCCGCAGCTTCGCGAGCAGGTGGACCTCACTGAGCTCGCCCCGCTCATCGTGGTGGACCCGCGGGCCGCGCTGCGGCGCATCCGGCCGCGCGCAGGGTGCGGCGTCGACCAGCCGTCGGCTGTCGACACGAACCGGCTGCCCGACGTCGCGCTGGCCGAGCTAGTCGAGCTCTTCGCGGCGGCGGAGGCCACGGGCATTTGGCCCTGGCAGGTGCTCCTCGTCATGGGGCGCTTGCTGGGCAAGAAGAATGGCGGGGAGCGAGTCATTGGGGTCCTCAGCATGCTCACCCGCGTCTGGAGCATGGCTCGCGAGGCGGACATGCAGGAGAAGCGCGCCAGACGGCGCCAGTGTGGGACGCCGCCATTGCCGGCAACGCGGCGCTGCAGGAGGAGGAGGCGGAAGAGGAGGAGGAGGATGATGATGATGAGGAGGAGGAGGAACATGCGAATTCAGAGGAGAAGGAGGCGGAGGAGGGGGAGGAGGAGAAGGAGGAGGAGGAGGAGGAGGCTCGGAGGAGGAGGAGGAGGACAAGGAGGAGAGGGGAGGAGGAGGAGAAGAGGAGGAGGAGGATGAGGAGGCTGAGAGCAGGAAAGGAGGAGGGAGCAGGAGCATGCAGCAGGAGCAGGATTTTTAGGGGGGGGGGGGGGGGGGGGGGGGGGGGGGGGGGAAAGGGGGGGGTGGGGAGGAGGAGGCGGAGGAGGAGGAGGAGGAGGAGCAGGAGGTGGAAGAGGAGGAGGAGGAGGATGTGGAGGAGGAGGAGTAATGCTAATAACAGTAGTAATAAGACTAATACTGATAGAAACACTAAGCATACTAATAACACTGCTACGGATATCACTACTACTACTACTACTACTACTACTACTACTACTACTTCTTCTTCTGCTACTACTAATACTACTACTACCACTACAACTACTACTGCTACTACTACGACTACTACTACTCTCAATTCTAATACTTGAAATACTACTTATACTGCTAGTAACGATACTGTTGAAACCATTCATGTTGCTACTACTACTATGCCTACTACTACTACTACTACTAATACTATCATTACTATTACCACCACTACTACTACTACTACTGCTGCTGCTACTGCTATTACTGCTAGTACTACTACTACTACTACTACTACTACTACTACTACTACTACTAC